GCAACAGCCATTATAATAAAGCGTGGGCGTGGCAGTGGGACAGGTGCAGCTTGAGGGGGATGTGCCTCAGGGTGGGCTTCCTGGAGGGAGCACCCCCTCTTCAGATTCTCCCGAGGGATGGTCTGGAGTTTGTTTTCTACCACTCCAGGCTGTGTGGTTGCTCGGTTCAGTGAGTGCTTTTGTCGTCCCAGTCCAATTCTTTCTTAATTCATTGGATTACACGAAGGAGAGGGTCTCAGGTGGGAGCTTGCACCAGAATTCTTGCTCAGCTCTCTTTATTACCTAGACAGGGCCAGGCGAAAGTGAGCTCTGCAGGCAGTGAGTGCTAGAGTAAAAGCCTTGCCTGGCTTTTCTTGTCTAGTTGCTTCTCTCGGGCTACAGAGGGTACGGACTTTCTCATTTCTGGGAGTGGATACGGTTTCTTTCTTTTTTTTTTTTTTTTTGGTATCAGGAATTGAACTCAGGACCTTGTGCTTGCCAGGCAGACCCTGTGCCACTTAGCTATATCCCTGGTCCATCGGTTTCCTTATAAAAATAATCTAAGTGGCCTGGCATGGTGGTGCACACTGTAATCCCGGCACTCAGGAGGCTGAGGCAGAAGGATTGCTGCACAATAGATGCCAGCCTGGGCTACAAAGTGAGTTCCAAGCCATTCTGAACTGCATGGCAAAGCCTTGTCTCAAAAAGACCAAAAAAAAAAAAAAAAATTGAGTGCAACAGAACCAAGAGTGGGCTTTTCCCCTTGCCTGGGAACTGACCACTGGGGTCCAGTTGACAGTAAAAAGGCACAAAGCCCTCCTCAGTGATAGGGCCTGACTCCTTCCTACACCAGCCACCACCATGCCCAGTCCCCAGCCCAACACATACACCCAAAACTCTCGTGGGGCTGGGGTCAGGCAGAGAGCAGTTCAGAGGCAGGGGATTTGGACTGGTACCCAAGGGGCCCGGGAAGTGAGGGACTGCCCAGGGCTCTCAAGGTGATCTAAAAATAGCGATGGCCGGTGGTTGGCTGCAAGTTTCTATTCCTTGAAGTGAGGTTCCGCAACAACCCAGTTTCCAAAGCGCAGGACTCAGAAAAACGTGCACATCAAAGAAATGGGACTTGTGAGGCGGAGGTTTTGGGAACCGACTTAGAAGCCAAAACCACATTCATACAGCAGTGACAATACTCCCATACCGACTGGGATTGGCGGGTAACGGCAGGGAAGCGCCAGGTCCTCAGGGTCCAGAGCACAGAAGCACCAATCTGGAGGATCTGGAGGAAGGTGGTCAGGGCAGCCTCTCTGGAAGAGGTGACTGCAACCTGAAACCTGCCAGGAGACTGGGAGTTGTCCTGGGGGCTTCCGGCCCGGGGAGCGCGTTCACACAGCGGGCGTCCTTGTGCTGCTGGCGGGGCTCAGGGACTGCTCCTTGCCCGGGCTGTACTGAGGGGGCCCAGTGCCCCTTACTTTGATTCGGATCGCAAAGGCACCCAGGCCCGCCTTCCCCAGCCTCACTGGGTGTCCCTGAGGGGTCCTTGATCTCCCCCCCCCCAGGGGCCTGGATAGTGCGGACTTCTGAGACCTGCCCCACGCCCGGTCTGCTGTGCCCCGAAACACAGCCCTGGTAACAACACTCCTCTGGGTGGCTGGTCCCATCCACTTGGATCCTAGAATACAGGGACCTACTTCCCAGCCGGCCCCTCCCTCCAACTTCCCAAAGGCCTTCAATCTCGAGACTGGGTTTTGAATTTTCCGCCGCAGAACGCAGAACGGAAGGTCTGGGAGGCCCTTGCTGAAGGTCAGGCGTCCCTCCCCGCCCGCGCGCCCCGCCTGGCTGCGGGCTGCGCACTCACCTGGCTCGGGGTGCGCACGCCCGCCGCTCTCCGTGGTCTCGGGGGCCTGGTGCCAGGGCCGGCGCCGCGCTGGGCTCCGCTCGGCCCGCCCGAGCTGCGGGAGGCGGAGGCAAGATCCTCACCGGTGCGCGGACGCCAGGGAGAGCAGGTCATCCGGGCGGGCGGTGCAGGCCACCCCCGCCCCCACCCCCGCCCCCACCCTGTCCCGCAAGGGCCCGGGGCGGGCGCGGCCTCGGGAAAGGCTACCCTGGGCTGTTTTCCGCGCGCCAGGAGCTCGCAGGAGCCCCGAGGGTCCCAAGGCTGGGAACCCTTTCCCGCCCCTTTTGCGGTCTCCCCGTGGGGCGGTCGGTGGAGAGCAGGTGGCTGATTTTGCCTCTGCCAGCTCAGACTGAGGTACGATGGATGAACTTGATCTCTGGGCTGAGCCAGAAGGCCGAGCTTGGAAAGAGGAGGACATTTCTGAGCTCTGCACGACTCCCTCCCACCCCAGGCTTCATCCCAGGCTGCGGGGACCACCCCCCCCGCGCTCCCCCACCCCCACCCCGCGCCCTTGGGCTGTGGCAGATCGCTGGCTGCCCACTCCCAGGTGGAGCCCGTTGCCCTACTACACTTTTGGCCCTGGTCCCTGGAGAAGGCTAAGGGGGGTTGGGTGAGTGTGAGAAGCTGGAGACCGCTTCCCAGCCTCCACACAGCCCAGGTGGCAACGTCACCGTGTGCCCAGTGTGGCAGAGAAGCATGACCGAAGTGAGATGCTCCACCCGTGACACCCCCAGCCTGCATTATTGGACACCTAGAATCTGGTCGCTTCGTCCCACCCCTCTGCTGGCCATGCTGGGAGAGCAGAGGTGAGGGGAAAGCTAAGGCACCGCTGCATCCGCACATCTCCCCATCCCACCTCGGGTTAGCGCAGCTGCTTGGTAAGAGTGCCACAGCTGACCTTGCTTGCCTTATCTCCCTCTTTCCTAGGCCATCTCTTCTGTTTCCCCCCAGTGGGGGGCTCTGACTTGTGAGAGCAGACTGGTGAATTTCCAGGAATTTTTTCAAGCCAGTTATTTACAGGACCGTTATTAAAAAGGAACTTATGTAAACCTGTAAGCAAATAACTTACTAAAAGGAAAGGTCGCTGGGTGTGGTGGCACATGTCTGTAAACCCAGCACTCAGGAGGCTGAGGCAGGAGGATCAGTGCAAGTTCGGGGCCCGCCTCGGCTACAAAGTGAGCTCAAGGCCAGCCTGAACTGCATAGTGAGACCGTCTCAAAAAGACCAAAAAAAAAAAAAAAAAAAAAAAAGAAAGAAAAAGAAAAAGAAAAGGTCATACTGAAATACTCAACGCTTCTATTTTATTAGTACCTATGCCTTTGGGTTACTTACCCCATCACATCTGGATGGTGGGGAGGTTATATATGGTTCACCCCACCATGAGCTAAGTGATTTCACTCTGGCAGCTGGAAGCCAGCAGTGCAAGGTATTTATTTACACCACAGAAATGGGCAAACGTTACATCCAGGGCTTGATTTATGCTTTCAAGTCTCTAGACTTAAGACAGCAGTAGAGAAAGTGTTAGTATCATAAGTTTAAAAGTGGGTTGGGCAAATATTCTGGAATATGAGTTGTATCTCAATTGTAAATAAAACACATATCTGAGGGAATTTCAGTGTGAATGGCACAACAAACTGAGGGTACATGTGTCCCGCCTTCAGAAACTACTTGATTCAGCAAAGTCAAGTCATATCATCAATGAATGAAGTCTGACTCAGGTCTTTGACTTGTTCCCCTAAAACATTAACCAACGTTCATGCTGGGGCTGCGGTCATTTGTCATGCGAAGGTTACATGGATAGATTAGTTCCAGATATGAAAGGGTGGCAGAAATTAATGGGCTTGTGAGAATCAATGGGTTGTATTGATTTTACGATGAAATGTATTACTGTACAATGTACATTGTTACACAGCCCTTACATCAATAGAATTTATATGGATCTCCCCCAAGGGCCAGGATGATAAACTGTATGCCCTGCTCTTCTCAGTTTTCTAATGTTCTCACTACGGGAGCCCCTTTGGGTCTACAGATGATCTCAACTCTTTCAGCAGCCAGATTTTACCTGACATGTGGGCGTGAATATCTATCACCACTTGGGCACTTAACAGACACCCACACATCATCCCAATGCACAGGGTGAGGTCTGAGACTCAAGGGGGGCTGTGATCTGGTGCCTCAGGCCAGTGACCCACGGTGCTGTCATCTCCTGGGATTGGCTGTGGTTTCAGAGTTGAAAGCAGCTGATGGAGTCATAGACGGGCACCGGGAAGACAGAGGGAGATGTCAAATGTCCACAGTATCAGCGTAGGGGTGGTAAGGGTGATGGGGGCCCAACTTTGGGAGGGTGTTGGACATTTGGAGTTGGAGGTAACTGTGGGACATCCAAGGTGGACACACACACAGATGTGCAGCTGCAGAGAGGCTGGGGCTGGTGGTTTGGAGCCTTCTGGGAAGTCAGTAATTAGAGGTGTCCATGTGCACAAGCTTGTCCAGGAGGAGAGGGTTGCTGAGAGGGCTGGGTGTGTCTCCAGGTGAAGCTTTCAGAGGCTGGGTGTGGCTACTGTGGAGGCCCAGGGAGCGTGCTTCCAAAAAGGAAGGTCATTTAGGGTGAACACACTGGCGAGTGCCACAATGGGTAAAACTGCCTTGGATTGGTGACATGTGGCCCACTGGGCACTTCAGCAGAAGCTCTCTTGCCGGAGGGCCCCAAGGTCTTGAGGAACCTTTGGAAAATCAAGCCGAGCTGTCCCAACAGGAGGCAAACTCCATGTTCTAAAGGGTTTCAGTTGGGCTGGGGGCGTAGCTCAGTGGCAGAGCCCTTGCCTGGCTTGCCATGAATGTGCGAAGCCCTGGGTTCAATTCCCAGTGTGGGAGTGAGGGGGACAGATTTGGTTTATGCCGACTTAAACCCAACATGGAGTGGACAGGGTGGAGGTGGGGATTTGTATAGGAAATTTTGCTCCTCACGTTTGTCATGGTCAGTTGTGGGGCAGCTCCAGGTACCCACTGGCAAAGCCAGCCAAGGACTCCAAGGCCGAGGAGGAGACCCGGGTGCCCAAGCAGGGAGCCTGAGCTCTCTGCAGCCTGTTCAATGCTGCCAATAATGTACAGTGAGGAAAGCCAGGACTCACTTCTATTCCGTTCTGTTTTATTACAACCCTGCCCTTGTGTTCCAGAACAAATGGCTATTTAACACACAACCCCAAATACTCCTACAATGGATCTTGTTAACATTCAAGTCTCATTTCTTCCTCAGCCCATTAAATCCAAAGGGAAAAATAATCTTTTAAGAAAAAGTCAATAGGTTTAGTCCACCCCAGGGAAAGCACCTTTATGATAGGAAACTAAATGTGTCAGGGATCTGACCAAATACACTGAGCAGCAGGTAAGATTCCTGACAGAAAACAATGACTCTAAACTGGAACATAAATAGACCCCCAGGTATATATATTTTACCAGTGTATACATACATAAGTAATATATTAAAAAGAAATTTGGTTTCTACTCCAGAGCTATTCAGAAATAAATCAACATCCCATCTGGGACAGGGGAAGCTGGGCGCTAAGCCACGTCACAAGCCAAGTGTGCGCCTTGCTATGCACAGGCCTCCCCTGTGTGCGCCACACTCGCCGGCCCGGGGTTGGGGCATCACTCCACCTCACGCCCCAGGCCTGGCAGATCCAGTGTTTGTAGAAAAGTGACACAGAGAAGGCTATGGAGGACCCCAGAGGCCACCATGCAGAGGCCAGGAGCCAGCTAGGAGGGAGGTGAGTGCCCAAGGCCACCCACAATGGGCCTTGAAGGCACCTTGGGGAGTTTGGACCCCAGGGACAGGATGGTAATACTCCTAGGTTTTTAACAGTCAGCTCACGATGAGCTCTGCCCACGGCCCTCCGGAGTTTGGTAGTTTGGCAAGGCTGGGCTTCCCTTGAGATCTAATGGCTTTCAGGAGGGAGTGGGGTTTCCAGAGCCACCAGGTGAACCCACCCTGTGAGCCTGGTGTGTGTGTACCCACATGTATGTCTTAATGGAGGTCAACAGGTTGCAAATGAGTGTTCTACCAGGGCCCACTCAAATAGTGTCTGCTTTGGGGTAAGAGGGTTTTATCATTGCATTCTAAGCGGTCCCCATGCTAAGCGGATTTGTTCAAAAGATACCAGCTGCTAGAAGCTGTAGACACAGAAGATGCGACACACACCTGGGAGCGAGTTCCTCTCAGGACTTGGCACAGTGTTTCCATCTACAAGACAAACAGGACAGGTGTGTGGGAACGCTTTGTCCACTCTAAACCCTTTCCCGGCACCACCGACAAACAGGAGGAAAGGCCATCGGGATCAGAAGCTGTCAGTAGTTTAAGGTTCAGGAGCTGCTGATCCACGAGACAGTCACACACAGCCGTACTCATACCACACTGTCTGCTGGTCCCCGCCTGGCTCCGGGGATGCTGGGGTGCTCTTTGAGCTGCCTCCACGGCTGAAATCCTCGGGGCCCCGGCTGGCATGGGGAGCCAAGTCAGGTGACCTGCCAGGGCTCTTAGCCAGGAGCCCCTCGGTGTGGCCCTGTCCCAGGTTCTTGTCTCCCTCTGAGAGGCTGAGCCCTGAGCGGACAGGGGCAATGGTGGCTACCTCCCCTGAGTGTGGAGGCGTTTTGGGCTTGGTCCTGGAGGCTGCGGCTGCAGCAGGTGGGAAGTGCTGGAGCTGGGAGCTGCTGCCGCTGCCGCCTGCAGTGGTGGCAATGGCTGGGACCGTGGCGGACTGCTGCAGGGGTGCCAGCCTCTCCTCCTTTGGGGGAGCCAGTGAGAAGCGTCTGGTGTCTGATGGCCGGCTGCGGGGCCCTGGACCTTGGCAGGAGCCATCAGCCTTGCCTGCCTGTAGGGTCCGCTCCCGTCCCAGGCTGTGGGAGCTGGGAGGTGCAGGGCTCTGCAGGCTGCGGCTGCCTGTCTCTCTGGCCCCCGAGGCCTCAGGATCCCCCAGTTTCTGAGGGGATTCTTGTCTACAGGCCTCTGGCCCACTGGCCCGGAGAAGGTCGGCAGAGGCCAGGCTGTAGGCGCGGCTCAGGGACGCACTCCGGCCGGCAGGGGCATGGGAAGCGGGGGACATTGTGGCTTGCCGGGCTCTGCCCAGAGACAGGCTCTGGGGAGGTTGGACCTGTCTCGGGGAGGCTCCTGCTGGGACCTCTGCTTCAGCAGGCCTGAAGTTCGGCTTCACATAATGCCCAGGCTTTAGCTGCCTCCCCTCGGAGGTGTTGATGGCCATCTTGATGGTGGGGGCCACAAAGCTGGTGGGCATCTTGGCTCCCTCTTTCCTGGCAGGAGGGCCTGGTGGGCCTCCAATGGCCGGGGGGTCGTTGGCCTTTCGGAAGTAGTCACCGAGCAGGTCATCCCGGCAGCAGCTGGGAGTGTCCTGTAGAGAAGAGAGGAGGCACAGGCAGTGGGAAGTGAGGGCCTGCAGGTCCTGGGCGCCTCCCCACCAGGGTGCACAGGGGCCCCTACAGCCAGGACTGAAGTCTCCTGCCCCGCTCCTGTCCAGGTCTCCAGGGCAAGGCCCCACCAGGATGGCCAGGGAAAACAACCCCAGGAGACCGCCATCCACACAGCCTGCCACCTTCACAAATAAGGAAACAGACCCAGAGAGAGAAGGGCTTGACCACAACTGTTTCAATCTGTTTCTCTTTTTCCCACCACGTGGAGCAGCAGCTAGAAAGCTATTGCTGTGACCTGGACTCCCCAGGCTCAGCACTGTCATGAGACCGGGACAGACCTGTGCCTGGCAAGTCAGAATCCTTCCTGCCACCCTGACCTTTCTCATGCTCTGAGGGAGGGGTGTGGCCAGGAGCCAGAGAGGCAGTGGGCCAGGGGGGCGGCACAGGAAGAAAAGTGTACCAGGACAGTCCAGGCGACAGACTGGTCCCATCAGGCTGCTGCCTCAGGCCTCCCCTGCCCAAGGGGCAGGTGTCCTTTGCCACCACCCTAGAAGCCAAAGTGTCTGACTCCACTCAGTCTCCCAGCGTAGCAGAGGAGAGGCCAAGCAAAGCGCCTCCTCCTCTGATGGGCACAGAGGGAGGGAGGGGGGGAGAGCACGCAGGCAGGACGTGAGGTCAGAGGCCGCCCACTGACGGAGTCAGACCTTGGCCTGCTGTGACCTGCTGGGGTGTCACCGTGGAGCCGTCTGAACCTGCCGACAGTCTGCCTCATGAACCTATCCGACACAGGCCGGACAGCGTTGCACTCTGCTGTGTTACCGTAGACCCCAGGGGTATCCCGACAGGCACTGTGAATCACCCGCGGGGCCAGGAACTGTGGTAGCAGCTGTGAGTGCTCGTGGCAAAGCACTCGCTTCATCCTCAAAGCAGCCTGGCAGGGCGCTGCAAAGGCTGTATAAAACCACCTGTGACGCCGCAAACTTAGGTCCTATGGGTTAAGTGGGCCAGGAATCTAGAGCAACACCTGGGGTTAAAGCCAGGGCTGTGTTTCTATCGAGGGCCGCTTTCTACACTGAGCAGCATCTCTCTGCACACTTTTTTCTTTTTAATTCACTCGTAAGAATTGCACATACTTACAGGGCACAGGGGGATAATTCAGTATGTGTATACAACGTGTAATGCTCAAAGCAGGTTAACTAGCATCTCTGTCTCCTTGTATATTACTTATTTCTTTGTTTGGAGCCTTCACGTCGTCCAGCTCTTCATGAAAAATGTCACACTTGTAGTCTCATCACCCTTCTGTGCTGTGGGACACCAGAACCTACTCCTGTCTAGCTGCTGTTCTCCTCCCATTCCCCTTCCTGGTCATTAGTTGGTCTACTCACTCCTCCTATGACACCAAATGTTTTGGTTTCTACAGACAAGTGAGACCGTGCAGCATTTGGGTCAGCATACTCTCAAGTCTCTGACAGCTGCAGGTGACCACCTTCTCTGGCCACCGTGGGAGTCCCAGCATCACTAACACTCGGGGACAGGGACATGTGGGGGCCCTGCTGTCACCTCCCTGGGTTGAGAGGTGTTGTCTGCCTCAGGAGCCTGCTTGTGGAGGACAGGAGGGTGTGTCAGATGCATGAGGCTAGTGAGGACCAAAATCCTAAGGAGTGAAGGGGGGACAAGGACCACGTAATGGTTGATACATTGTGTCAACCTCGGAATTGAGAAGTTTAGAAGCTTAACTAAGTGACTCAGCGGGGGGCCAGGGTCCTCACTTTCCTACACATCCTGAGCTTGTGGAAGACAGAGGAGGTCACGGAGATGGCGTGGGCAGATAGCTGGCATACAATATAAGTGAGGAAAAGAGGCTTGCTTTCTGTCCTTTCTTACTCTGCTTTTGCTGTCTTCTGCTGCCACAAACTGCTGCCCTTCTGTCATGCCCCCCTGCCTTGCAGCCAGCTGATTACAGACCGATACCTCCACAAACTGTGAGCTAAATAAACCTTTTCTTCCTTAAGGTATTTTGTCTCAGCAATGAGAAGAAAGTAACCAAGACCCCAACCTTTCTGTATGTTTCCTTTCCGTGGCAACTATGAGGTTTTACAGGCAATGCCACCCTGCTGATGCACTGGTCTGCTTTGTCTTTCCATAGCAGGCACCATGCACACCGCCTGTACAGAGCAGATGTTCGATAAACGTCTACTCAGCAGCCATCTTACAGTCTCTATACCACCATGCCCTGTTTGCACAGGTAATAGTTTACTATATGACCAGATAAAGTCCAGCTGTGTTTACTTAAGGAGAGTGAGATGGAAAGAGGGAAGTATTCAAATTTGTCACTGTCGTTCAAACACTGTGAAGACAGTGTACTCCATTCACTCAGTACCCCAACAGCTCATCTTACTGAATTCAGACACAGTGTGTTCAGACGCAGAGGCAGCACAAAAGGTGACACTGAGCTGCACAAAGGTGGCAAGGAGGGTCTGTCCATGGGTGGACAAGGGGGTGCGGGGCGCAAAGTGGAGGTCAGCACCGGAGGCTGGGCCCGGCTTGCCGCCTGTTCTACAGCCTGTGAACTAAGAGGTTTTTTTTATTCCCAAATTGCTCAACAAAAAGTAGTGTCAAACTGCGTGTGGTGGTACATTCCTGTAAACCCAGCACTCAAGAGGTGGAAGCAAGAGGATCACCGTGAGTCTGAGGCCATCCTGGGCTACACAGTGAATCCAGGACCATCACAAAACACAGTGAGACCCTGTTATCACATCACATCACAACACAACACAACACAACACAACAGTGTAGCTCAGTGATGGAGACCTTGCCCAGAACACACAGCACCCAGCATACATACCATTTAGACAAAAAAAAAGAAAAAGATGAATAGTTATTTCATGACATGAAATTCAAATGTCGGTGTCCATGACACAAGTTTTACTGGACAGCTGCCAGCCCACTTACTTACATGTGGGCAATATCTGCTTTCTCTACAGTGGTGGAGTTGAGTAGCTGCAACAGAACTACAGCATCCAGAAAGTCTAAAACATTTGCCTCGCGGCCCTCCAAAGGCGCTTCCAAGTTTGCCAGCCCTTGCTGGAGAAGCCACAGGGCACGAGGCAGTCGGAGCTCTGCCACCAGACCTGGTGTGAGACCCTGCCCTGTAAGTGGACTTCCGGTCTCACCCTTCCCTTGGTGTGGGCATCACTTTTGCCAGTTCACAGTGTAGCCCCCGTGGTTTGGGGGCTGGTGGTGACTTGCCCGCCCATGGGTTTTGATACCCTGCCACAGCCACGCCAGCCCTGCACCAAGGCCTCCCCACACCGCCCCATCCCTTTCTGACTCCAGTCTTGAGCCAGAAGACAAGAGGCCCGCGGCACCCTTCCATGCCCAGCCACTTACATGGGCTGGGGAGCTGCGGTTACTCTCCTCCAGGAACTCCTCCAAGGTCACCATCTCGCTGCTGGGGGAGGCCGAGCAGGGCCGCACCCCAGGGTGGGCTGTGGCCGAGCCTCTCTTCGGGGCAGCCTCCTGGGGCACAGGCCCATTCCGAGGCGGGAGGTATTCATGGCGGCTGAGGGCGCTGCGTCCCAGGGTGTTGGGGTCCCTGCTAGGGATCAGGTCTTCACTGCTGAAGCCCTCGGAGCAGCCGTGGAGCTGGTCGGAGGAACCTAGGCAGAGATGGGCACACCCATGTCAGTCCCAGCTCCCTCTCCTGCCACAAGCGGGCCTTGTGCTGCCTCTGGCTCACTCAACACCCAGGCTCCAGAAAACCCTGCCCCAAAGCCAGGGCTGACACCCGCCGGCTTCAGTTCTGGGTCCTCAGGGGCTTTCTGGGACCCTTTCGGCACTTTACCTTGGCCTTTAAAAGTGAAATAACACGAGATGAAATTTAAACATAAGAAAGTTTTAGAAAGAACTTCTATCTCCTTGGACTACTAACAGTTCTCTTGGGTCACAAAATATAAAATCTGGACGTGAAAAGTGTTTGTACTGAGGTGCAAATTGTACACTGGAGTTCAACCTGTGAAAAATACGGATGGCTTTATTTATCTGTGTGTCTTCCTTGCACCAGGACCACACGAATCTCCTCTGTATCATTCAAACTTTAGTGCCTGTGCTGCTGGAGTGAGCACTAAAGTTTAAATTATTAGTAGCTATCACATTCACTAGCCCTCAACCATTTATTGAAAGTTTAATTAGCACCTACTATACACTAGGTTAGTTGATGGCAAACCTTTTAGAGCTTTCAATGATACAAACAGCCTGCTGTGGCATGGGTGCCACAGGTCTGCCACCACTGTGCTAGGTGTTCTTCCAGGGGCCATGTCTGAAACTAAGAAAAAAATCTCTGTAAGAGTTTATGGGGCCTGGGGTATAGCTCAATGGCACAGCACCTGCCTGGCAAGCACAAGGTCCTGAGTTTGATTCCTGGTACCCCCCACAAAAAAGTTTACAGTGCCTGGGAAAGAGGGCACATGGCAACACACATGTTCTTCCAAATACACAGGGCTCATTCATGGAGACTGAGCTCAGCCGAAACCAAAAACCAACTTTCCAACATTTAAAAGAATCAAAGTCATCCATACTTGTTCTCTGACCACACTGGAAAGACACAGCTGATCCCATCCCCGGGCCAGGATGAGGCAGCCCGCGTAGGCCTGTGACTTGCCCACGTCCTCAGAGCAGGGGGCAGAAATGATCGGAAACCAAATCCCTTCCAACGCCCAATGTGCGCTTGAAGTCACACTGTGTGGCCCACGAGTGCATCCTGAGGCCTCCGGAGGTCTTGTTAACCACAGCTTGTGCTCTCTTAGGAGTAACACGAGCCCAGAGCCAAGCATCCAAAGAACCATTTAAAGGACTCAGTGGGGCAGCCCTACCTTTGAGGCTCAGAGGCGAGCTGTTGCTGGATGTGTTTCTGCTGCTCTCCAAGCTGCTCGGCCGAGACACTGAAAGGAAAGGGCGACCTTTAACGAAAGAGGCGGTGGACCATGCAGATCCCAGGGGAAACCGTCTCATCTGAGAAAAGCATGTAACCAAGGCAACTCAACGCCTGGGCGAGGGTCAGCACCCTCAGGAAGGAAGAACTGCCAACCTCCTGATGCTCCCGACAGCAGGCTGCGGACGACCAGCAGCTTTGGCTGTCAGTTTCCACTAGGTATTCAGCAACGAAGGAGATCTCCCCAAACCCAGCACAGAAAGCAGACAAAGGACTGCTCTGGGCAGACCAAGGGTCAAGGTGGAGGGCACCCAGATTACTGCACAGAGCTTTCCAGAACACACGTGACCAGCCCCTTCCAAGAGAGGGGTGAAGTGCTGTTCTATACATGTGCACATATGTACACATGTCCAAACATGTGCCTGTGCGTGGGGCAGCACCCCTGCTGGTTAACCACAGGGAGGGGTGCTGGGACCCTGGGACGAAAAGCAAATGCTTCTCCTGGTTGTTTGCCATTCATCAGCTCCTCTGCGTGATTTGCCTCCAATTTAGATCTGTTCCAAAGGGAAAACTCGAGGCTTCCTTGACAAGAGTGAACCTGGGCGACCGTCCTTGAAGGAGGAGCAACTGTCTCCATCTTGGCTGAGGCTGACCCTATTTCCATGTACTGATAGGTACAGAGCTGGCTAAGACTTCTCCTTACCCCTTCAACTGGCTTTAAGCAGTGCTTATCAGTCCAGCCGAGGTGCTGATGTGCAGTCTTTGAAGACAACAGGCAGTGTTTCCCGGACACACTGTTCCCCCGTGTGAGCCCGGACAAGGCGGGATAAGAGCCAGTGCTCTACACTGTGGGTGGGATGGAGCCTTGAGATAGAGGCTATGACTCTGGGGCTTGAAAGATTACACATGGGAGCTGAACAGACCCCAGAACAGCAGATACTATCTCAGCTGTGTTATGCAGATGACTCGTTCTGCATGTCCTCCTCATACTGCACAGGTGATTTCAGGCCTCCTGCCTAGCCCAGCTCACGGCACTCACTTCCCATGATTCTCACGGTCACTCACCCTCAAGCCACTCCCTTCTTCACAAATTAATAAAACCCGGGGTTTGGCCCTGGGTGGAGGCCTTTGTTCTGGATGGCCATCATTGTGGCTGGACTTAGGACCCCTTGGCTCCCCTTAACTACAAATATGCCTTAGTGCTTTATTCTCGCCATGGGTTGCACTGGAAGTGGAAGATTGGAATTAACTCGCTAGAAAACTGCAGTAACTTTTCCATGGGATTACAAATATAAACTCCCTGAGCTCTCCATAACAAGTATGGAGGGTACACAGCCCTCCTGGCTGCTGTGAGTGCTGCCAGAGTGCGTCTGCTCGGCACTGCGCTGCTGCAGACCCTAGGAAGCAGGCGCCACCCGCTGCAAAGGCCCACAGACCTGGTGTTCCCTCCTCCAGCAGCCTGCCCCAGTCAGTGTCTCGTGAGAAAACAGCTATCCTGCTGGGCTCTGAGCCCCTAGGGGCCAGGAACAGTATTTTAGTCATCCCGCAAGCCCCAGCCCAAGCAGGTGCCAGGTGGACCTGCCAGGGAGCTGGCAGAAACACTAGACGGCCTGTGTGTGGGGCTCCCAGGGAGCAGCTGCTCAGGTTCCCAGGTCTATAGGGCACCCAGTTCCCAAGTGCTGACGGGCTCTGCAAACGGCAGGCATCTGGAAAAGACTACACAAACGGTGCTTGGGGATGAGCCAGAAAAGACTTGGTGCTCAGGGACAGCAGAACAGCAGTGAGTCCCCTCTCTGAGACGGAAAATCTGAAATGAACAAATGCACATCTCTCTGGAAAAAGGCAGTAAGTGTCACTACAAGGAAACGGTGATACAAATCAACGGCCCCCAAACAGCACCGCACTGCAGATCCCTTTCCTTCCCTCTCGTGACAAGACAGGCTGTGGAGGCAGACACTTTGGGAAAGTCCACGGCCACGCACTGAGATGTACTGAGCGAACAAGGTGGCTTCCTCCTGTCGTGTGTCCTCTACTTGGGGTGAGACAGAAGGGCCCCCTGGGGCAATGGTCTCACTGCAGAGCCTGTGTTTACTCAAAGAAATAAATGTCTAACTTTCGTGCAACATCGTCACACTTCGGACGCAGCAGAGAGGGCGGGAGATCGCACTAGCTCCCATGCTCACTGCCAGCACCTCTGACGTACACTGCACCCAGTGTAAAAAACAAACGATTTAAGGATTATTTTCCTAGCCTTCTAGGGTTGCTTTTCAAAAACTGAAGGCTGAAGGACAGCTCTGTAGAGCGTGTGCCAAGCATGTGTGAGGAAGTGGGTTCAACCCCTGGCGCAGAGAAGGAGGAGGAGGAGGAGACGGAAGGGGACGGGGAGAAAGAGGAGGAGGAGGAGGGAGAAGAAAGGGCTGGGACGGCGCAGGAAGGAGGACAGTCTAACCCAAAGCAACCTGGAAGCTTTGAGGAGCCTGGAGTCATTTAGTTTCCTCTTCTGCAGAACTTTACAGGATCTTAATTCAAACGACATATGCTTATTCTGACATCTGCTAAGACGTACTACAACCCAGAGCTACCAGGAGCAGCTAGAACCCGAGGGGACAACGAGAGGCCTCCCGGATAGTGATGTTCCCTGCATGAGGGGCATGTTAGAGCAGGGGCGTCACAGCTTCCAAAACCGGGCTGCTCGGGAGGCACTGGTGGGGTGCGAGCAGGAGTAAGCGCTCAGGCCTCCGGACAGGACAGAAGGGGGAGCCAGGGGAGACCTGGGAAAGTGCCATGGACAGAAACCTGCCCTGGGACCCAAGCCTAAGGAACACCCTCGAGGCCACGCACCGTGCTGCCTGCGCTGGGCGCCCTCGAGCTCCAGGGGCGGCTCGCAGAGGTTGTCGTCCGAACTGTAGCCTGCAGGGAACAGTGATGAGTCAGTTCTAACACCGGTACCACTCTCGGGCGACCCTGCCTGTGCTGCCCAGCCGGCAGTGACCTTGGGCAGCCCGAGGGGTGGCAACATCCAGCTCTCAGGGAGACGGAGGGCAGCCCGGACAGTGCCTTGGGGACCTGCTCTTTCCGTTCTCCCTTTATTTCCCAGCTTGGAAGAGGAGAAACACCCGCACCCTCACTCCCGCTCAGTTGAACTTTATGTCCCATTTCCCCTATGCGAGGATGGGGACCCGAAGATGAAAGTTGTTCTGACCTAGAGACCAGGTGTGAGGAAGCGATGACACCTGAGGGGAGACATGACACCAACTCTCCGGACAGCCCTGCACCCGGAGCTTCTAACCAGACACAGACCCAGGAAGCCCCCCCAACTCCCCGCCACAGACAGGCGGGTCTCTGACAACAAGCATTCAGAATGTGAGGGTCCCCTGAGTGCAGGGCCCTGGTCCGTGACGCCTTTTGTTTTTAACCGATGGACCAACACTGTGCATATCCAAGCCTTGCAGAGCTCAGCGGGTGCCTTTACCAGGAAAATAACCTCCTTCCTCCAGACACCCAACACCCAGAAGCGGGACGGGGCAGAGGCAGAGGCAGTCACCTTCAACTTCTTTAGCTGTTTCTTTCGCCTCTCAAATTGTACAGCATCTCTTCCCATTTAAGCACTCTCTTTCCCGACTCACATCTACATGTCCAGGTGCACACCCCCACCCTGCTCTTGTTTCACAGGTACAGTAGTTTCTCTTATCTCTGACTCTGCTGATGCTGGCATCTCTGTGCTTCGCGAATTCCGGTTTACTCCAGGTGCCTCTGGCTTTGGTTTTGCTCTCACTGGGGTTGCACAGGCCTCCCCTGGCAAATGCTGACTGAGTTACACCACTGTGAATGTCTCCAGCTAATGAGATTACTCAGTGTTTTACTCTCGCGTCTGAAGATGTGAATATGCACAGCCCCGGATGTGCTGGGAGCCAGTAATCCCTCCCTAACCATGTTCTCAGCGTGGGACACTGGGCCTCGGCTGTGTCGATGGACTTCCAGGCTCGATACCCTCTCTGGGGAAACCTCCTCTAGATTCCTAGCGTGAGGGGACAAGGGCAGTCCCCTGGTTTTAGCCCACACCCTGGTGCTCAATCCCACTTCAGACTTCTTCTAAGGCCACCTGGGGCCACCAATGTCCCTCTGCTGCGGGGAGGGGAGGTTCTAAGCTTTCGCCATGACGCTCGGGCCTCCTGGTGGCTGACTTGTCCAAAGTCCCTGGGTGGCGAGCAGAGCTGAGGTTTGAAGCTGCATCTGTGACCCACAGGGCCATCATGGTGTGGCTCCTTTGCTCCTATCTCATGGCACCCGCCTGCCTCTGAACTGGGGTCTTTAGGAAGGATCCAGGCTTGAGTCCCCCCTCCAGAGGGGCCCACTCACCTTTGGTGCGACCTGGGTGCCGGGGGACAGGGGTGGAGCTGGAGGTGGGTGCTGTGATCGCTGAGGCTGAACAGGTCCGGGAGCCCAGCTCTGAGGGCCAAGGCTTTATGGCTGGGTCAGCAGAGGCCTCCATGTGGTCCAGGCTGCTTCCATGTGGGGACCCTCGCTTTGGTTTTAGGTCCCCAGGGCCTGGGGCAGAAGAGGACACTGAAAAAGGAGGCTGCAAAAGCTGTGCAGAGGTGGGGTGAGCACACGAGGCCTGAAGCAGGCGTAGCAGGCACACAGACCACCGAAGCCGGGCACCGTCCCTGCTGCCCCAGTGTAAACAGGGGCCTCAGCCTGGTTCAACCCCATGAGGCCACTGTGGCTCCAGGGTGGGTTAGACCATGGAGAGCTCATGATAAACCCCTTGCTGGCAGAGTCCAACCCAGGGCCGCAGGGCACACGTCCTCCACCACCGGACCCTGCTCCCGTCCCCGCCCCCGCCCCAAAGGTCCAGACAGCTCTGCTTAGGACTGAGCCAAACCTGCGCCCCAAGTAATGAAGGAAGCCCCCTTGGGTTCTGGAAAGAAGTCTACTGCCAACCTCTCAATTGTTTTCAATCTTCTAAAAAGAGAAGCCCCGATCTCCGCACGGTGAGATGGACCACAAGGGGACACTGTTACCTCATATCCTAGGCTTTTTGGCAGTGTTCATTTTTCTGCCAAGAATACGTAGTCTTGTCAAAATTACAAACAATTATATAAAAAAATTATTAAAGGAAAGCAAGTGGGAGAGACGACGGGTACTTCAAACACTAAGTTAGAATGTGTTGCACCTCCTAACAGATGACAGGGCAGTTCACACAACATCAAGCTGCATGTGCCCCCGGGGGCATGAGTTTCAGGGAGATTCCGGCTCCTCCACAGACCGGGCCATCCACTGTCTTGGCCTCCCAGAGTCTGGGCTCACTGTGCTCAGATCCCAGATTCTATGGTCTGAAATCAAGGGAAAATTCAGGTATGTTTTGTTTTATTGAGATAGGGTCTCACTTGGTAGTTCAGGCTGGCCCCAAGCTCTCAACAATCCTCCTGCCTCAGCCTCTCAAGTGCTGGAATTACGTATGGACATGGGTCACCAAGCCTGGCCGGGAAATTTGGATTTTGAAAGATAACCTTGATGAGAAGCAAGATTCAAGTCTGGTGGAATGAAGCAGGACAGGACATCCCAGGGGGAGGAGGAAATGAGGATCCGGAGGGGAAGTGGAAATGGGCAACAGGCAGCATGAGCGGCATGCAGACACACAGCGCAGTTCGGACGGCATGCAAGGAGGACAGGGCTCCGGGGACCAAGCCCCAGGCACCCCAGCGCTCCCAAAGCGAGGGTCATGAGATGGAGCCAGCAGGACGTCAGCCAACTGCAACACTTTCAGAGTTATGGGTTTATTTTTATGGTCACTTGTTTTTATGGTGACACTTGCTTTCCTTTTACAGCAAAGTACTGACATTAGTAACCTTTCCTTTGCAGATAAACTGGAAACTTCAGGGGAAACATGTAAGTAGCCACGCAGGTGGCATAAGGACAGGGCAAAGCCAGGGCTGGACGGGAGTGGCCGGAGATAGACAGGAAAGGCTCCAGTGGGCGGTGGCCTCTGGCCAGCCCTCTCCTCGGCTCTGGGTGTGATTTATGTGCCAGTGTTCTTTCTGTCCACTGCTGTTTTAATCTCAGCATCCAAGATGTCACAGGAGCACAGCACAGCCATAAAACTTCACTCTGTGCTCGACTCTGGCTGGACAAAATCAATCCAATCGCGCCACCACACTTCAACAGAGCAGTCAATCCTTCAAAACACAGGACACCTCTAACAAGGGCCTCGCTAGCAATGCCGGCGACTCAGTGTCCTAAGACGGGCACAGAAGGGCAGTGATTTTAACTTTAGCTGCTTAAGAGTAAGTCTTTAAAACCTCACAGGAGGCGGACTATGTGTTTTAGGAAGCACAGAGACACGGACCACTTCTGCTTGACACACGGGCACGACAGAAGCCTGCAGGGGCGGGGGGCGGAGACACACAGTCACGCGACTTACTGAGCATGGACATCCTGGCCCGAGGACACAGGCTCGTATGTCCTGAGGGTCCCCTAAAACTGTGCTGCGCTGAAGAAATGGTCCAGAGTGTGACAACTCATCTTCTATTTGAACTCAGAATCCACGCTGGCTAATTTGGAACTGGGGTCAGGAGGAGGGTCCGCTATCGGCCGTGTGGCTTTAGGTACTGACTTTGTCTGAATTTGAGAAATGGAGGACACATGATGCAGACACATGGGGAAGGAAGGGGTTAGAAGCCTCCCATGTCTGAGAAAGAGACAGGCTCGTTAGGAGAGGACGGGGTGTCGGAGGAAGACCAGAACCGCAGGCGTTTAGACAGAGTCGAGTGGGCCGTTGGAGACTTGTCTTTGTCCTTGCTTTTGCTTCTCAAAAAGGGACTCTTTTTGTGCTGAGCTGCTAAATTGTTATCACCCGGATAACCCAAAAGAGGAAGGAGAAAAAAAAAAGGAAATTAATGATAATCACCAATGAATCTAAAGTAGCAAGATGCACTAAGGAAATCGGCATCCTGTCCGACCCCAGGACAGGCGGAGCCCAGTCGGGGCTCAGTGAATCATGGACATTCTGACTCCACTTAGTTAATTAAGTGGCACCCAAAGCCACCCATGTACCCACTCAGCACACGAGGAGAATTATACACCACCCCGGGAGCCATTGGCTTACACGACTTTAAACTTCAGCGTGTCAGATTATGAAATAAGAATGCTGGTTAGATCAGGAGCCGGCTGCTCTTACTCATCCACGCTGGCGACAGGGTCCCTGACCACTCTGCCCAGACCGCTCCTGTTCCCCCCCAAATTCCTCAGAAACCCTTCGTGACGTGCTCCTGGCCTGCTGCCACAGCACGGTCCCCGGGGAGTACTCATAAATCACTTCTGCATCTCCAAACTCACCTCTTTTGGCAGGATGAGCCTAGACATTATAATACAATACCTTTTGCATACCCACAAGTCCTTAGTGCCAAGAACAGCCGCTATTTCCTTTTAGCTCTTCTCCACTCCTGGCCTTTTAAATACGTAATTTTCACAAAGCAGAAACTGGTCTAACTTCCTGAACATGTCTTATCTCAGCAATAACCAACCTACGTGATTTTCTTTTTTTGGTAGTGGTGGTGGTACTATGAACCCAAAGAGCAAGCTTTATTGTTTTCTAATTTTTACTTTGAGACAGTGTCTTGCTAAGCTGCTCAGGGTGGCAGTGAATTTTTGATCTCGCTCCAGGCTCTTGAGTAGCTGGCATTAGGGGTGTGGGCCACCACCCTAAGGGAGTTCAGATTTCAGAATCTCCATTTCTTTCTCCACAGCACCACCTGGTGGCTATGGCCCCCAGCACAGAATAAGGGATTATTTACGCCATGAAGGGGGCCTGTTGGTGACCCTTCTCGCCAGCTCAGGGACAGGTGGTAAGCAGAAGCCCTGAAGCATATTTGTTTAGTCTTCCAGGATCAAAGCAGCTCCAACTGCAGGCAGCACAAGCTCAGCTGATCTGTGTTCAGATCCCTCTTACTACCGCAGCCAAGTGTTTAACCCAGTTGAAGCTAACTTTCTTGGCTTTAAAACTGGGCAGCAGCAGGGCCTGGTGATGAGCTTGTAATCTCAGCACTCTGGGAGGCTGAGGCAAGAGGATCACAAATTCAAGCCCAGCCTAGGCAATCCAGCGACTCAGTGGCCCTCTCTAAAAATTTAAAAAACTGAGAAAGGGCTGGGGATGCAGCTCAGTGCGAAGGTCCTGGGAGTTCAAGCCCCAGTACCATATAAACACAAGAAAGTGTGTGTATGTGCGGAGGGGGATGGTGCCTACCTCACAGGGCAGTTAGATTAAATGGGACAGATACAGCAAAGTAGTTAAAAGGGAGCTGAGCCCAGGCCATGTAGCCGCTCCCGGTAACTATTCCTGACCTGCTCATTCATGGATCAGTTCAACTATTTGGATCAGGCAAGCATTTTCTGTCTGAAAAATTTCCCACTCAATTAGATGGATTATAGGTAGTTAATTAAATGCAGGGAATAATACAGTTGAGATGATAAATGCCAAAAATCAAGCAACAGTTGTGCACAGTAGCAAACACCTGTAATCCCAGCATTGGGGAGGCTGAGGCAGGAGCATCACTGCAAGTTTGAGGCCAGCCTGGGCTACAAAATGAGTTCAAGGCCAGCCTGAACTGCATAGCAAAATCCTGTCTTAAAAAAGAAAAACAAAAACAAAAACCACTCAAGCAACAGCCAGCACGGGTATGAGGAACAACAGGCCCCCCAGGTGTTATTCACTTATAGAGCTGTTTACCACTCTCAACCCCACCCAGACAACCGAGCATCTGTCCCCAAACCATGTGCGTGCGTGTGACAAACAGGCACTTGTGAATGTCACCCCAAAAGGCTTGTGCACCTGTTGACTTGGGGTACTTGTCACTGGTCCTCAGGGCTCAACCACCAGTCCAGGAGCACCAGGTTCCCTAACGTGATCTCTAGAAAGTTCTGGTGTCTTCTGCAAATATTTAAATCACTCGGGGTCCAGGCCTGGCGTATACAGCCTAAAACCATTTAAATGTATATCTGAAATTTTCAGTGTGGACAGGAGCCTGTGTGTACTAGAGTCCAAGGCCCAGGTTTTCCACATCTAACAGATCTGAAACCAGGGCCTGGTTTCCGCAGTGCCTTACCAGAGTCACCACAGGCCAGGAAGGAGCTGATGGCACCGCCACGGCCATAAGCAACTCACCTTGCTCCTATTTTCCTTTTACGTGCGTGCATAAAAACCTGTCTGACTTTTAGAAGACCTCTTTTATTATACCAGAATCTAGTAAAACTCCTTAGTGGCAAAGTACTACACTACTGATGGCCAGTCATTTTCCTCTGGCACTATAAAGTAACTGCACAGATTATCTGGCCTCTGAGCACCGATAAAATATAGGACACAGAACCAGAAATCCGCTCTTATCTCAGAACCCCTGGCACACTCCAAATGACGATCCTGAAGGAAGACAGACACTGTGTCCCATGGCTGCTGCAACTCAAGGACAGGTGTGGCTGGAGAAGAAACCCTGACCTGCCTTTCAGAGGATAAAAGATGAGAATGACCCAGGACCTCCTGAAGCTCCTGGGTACAGGAGGAGTGTGTTAAACGCTCCTGGGATCTCCCTACTGAGAACTGCTTAGTAGTGGAAACCACTGACACATCCGAGGGACCCCCCAAAACACACACACTTCGTCGCTTGTCTCTATGGGGTCTGCTTAAATATACCTCTGGGTATTGGATACCTACCAGTCTGTGCAGTGAACCCTGCTTCTTGTTCTAAGATAACAAAAGTGTTCTATGGGACAACACTCCCGTAACGGGAACGCAGATTTCTAGTTTCTACCTGGTACATGACACACCTAGGCAGAAGGTACACAGCCCTCAGTCACACACCGGCATGCGCACACCACTTCCCAAGCCCGACCGCAGCCAGCTGGGCCGCGCCTACCTTTCCCCAAAGGCCCGTTGTGAGCATCACACTCTTCGGCCCCATGTGAGGCCAGTGGGGGGTTGCTGGGGTTCTCCGGCTGTGATCTGAGGGACTGAGAGGCTGACGGCGAGGCAGGGTCTGCGGACTCAGACTGCCAGGAAGGGCTGTCTGCGGTTGACTTTAATCGTTCTCTGGAACCCTCTTTCTTTGGTTTGATGAATTTCACTAAGGCTTTGGCTCCAATCCAGTGGTTCTTCCTAGTTAGGAGGAGATTTTTAAAAGGTACAACCAACACTTCCATGCCCCTGGCTTCTCTGAAGTGCGTGGGATTCTCATCATCAGCCCGTGAAGTTTCGCCATTAACTTGGGATTCAGGACAGCGGCGCTGAGCTGGGGTGCGGCTCAGGGCTGATGCACTGGCCTAGCTTGTGTGAGGGCCTGGTGTTCAGTCCCCAGCACATTTAAAAAAAAAAAGGATGGTAACATTCATGAACATTGTCATGATCATCTTTGGGGCTCAGGCAGTAAAATCGCATCTTTAGGTGCAGGCTGGGTGATAGTGCAGTAAATCCCAACTAGTGTCCCTAGAAAAGAGAACTTTAGGCAGGTGGAGTGGCTCAGGACTGTAATCCTAGCACGCTGTGAGGTCACGGCAGAAGGATCACAAGTTCAAGTCAGGGGCTGAGGATTTAGCTCAGCGGCAAAGCGCCTGCCTGACAAGCGCAACGTCGTGAGTTCGGTTCCTGGTACCGGAGAAAAACCAAAACCAAAAAAAAAAAAAAAAAAGTTCAAGTCATACCCAGGGGCAAGCTAGTGAGACCCTGTTTCAAAATTTTAAAAATAAATACACTGAAAGGGAATATAACATAAAAAGGAACATGCTCAGTGTGAAGACCCTGGGTTCGATCACTAGTCCTGGGGCTCGGGGGGCACGAACCTCACATCAGTCAACTCTTTTTTTTCTTTGGGTACCAGAAATCAAACTCAGGACCTCCCACTTGCCAGGCAGGCGCTGTGCCGCTGGGCTACATCTCTGGCCCTCAACTCTTGTTATCTGAGTGATATGAAGGAAGTGTGGCTGTGCTGAGATAGTTGGTGATTTTTCTGTCCAAAGATCATCATCTAAAATACTTTGTGCTAAAGCTAGTAAATGAAGTAAGCTGGCGTTCACTGACCCCTCCCCGGCACTGAGTAAGCTGGACCAGGGGGCGGAGGGCAGAGGGGAGTGGGCTGTTTGAATGGGGTCATCTGTATGTAAGGAGTGAGTGACAAACCTGCAGGTAGCACAAACTCACCAGGGTCCCCACCCTGCCTGTCCACGCAAGCCACCCCACTCCCCGCCTCAGCTGCAAACTTCTGTCAGGCAAAAGCCTGGATGCCTGGGACAGCAGCTCCACCATTTCAACAGAGAACCCCCGAGGGACTCAGGGTGATTCCAACTTCAAGGCTAGGCTGGATGAGGGCTCCTGAGGCTCTGGATCGGCTTCACATCTCCAGGGGCTGCTGCCCAGGAGAGCAGATACTGCGGAGCCACCTGGAGGCTGTGTGTGTGAGGACTGCAGGGCAGGCCTGCTGTTCCACCCGACACTTACAACACAGGGACATGACTGTACTAAATCTTACACAAAAACCTGACAAGGGCCACCCCGCCCCCCCGCTTCAGTGGCTGAGACTACCGACGCTGCCTTTTAAAGGGCTCATAGCTAAGTCTGTCCCTCATCGAGGCCAGCTGACATCTGCCACCTGACAGGACAAGCCTGACACACAGGTGGACAGCAAGGTGGTACAGATGGGCCTGCAACGGGCAGGAGCTGCTGCCTCTCCTCATGGAAAAGCCAGCTGTGCCTGGCGTCTTTTAAGTCCTCGAACCTTAGATCAACTCACTTCTTTGGAGCGGGATCATAGAACTTGTACTGATCCATGATTTTCTCTTCCAGTTTTTCCTTATGTCTCCTTAAGGCGTTTAATTTGTCTCTGTGAACAGAGGAGGGGAAAAGCTATCAATCAATCAATCAAGTTTTAAATAAAACAAATCTGCCTATCAGCCCTACCTGAAGCAGAAGTTGGTGCTTTCCTGGGATTCAGACCCAGGATGAACAGAAGCATCTGCCACAGATCCGGGGAACCCTGTGACCCAGAGACCACCAAGGATCCAGCTGGTCAGCCAGGGCAAACCCCAGGCCTGGGCCCACTCCACAATGGGCAGCTGCCAACACCTCAGGAGGAGCAAACTCCGCAGCTCCCCAGGGCCAGGCAGAGACGGGGGGCAAAGCTGGTCTGGGGAGGTCAGACGGGGTGGTGCAGCCAATCGCTGCCCACAGGAATGGACTCAGGCTAGGGGAGCTGACCTGATTTCTAAATGTTACACAGCTGTTCAGATTTTCAAGCCAAGGGACCAGATCCCTCCTGAACCCTGCCTGTCTCAGGGCACTTCTGCTCCCCAGGGAGTCTGGGGTGCTTCTGTCTGACTCTGGAAGCCTTCCTCGTGGTTGGTCAGGCAGCTCAGACCCCTGGTTTGCTCTCTTGAAAACAAGGCTCAGGGGAGAGCTCACTGCTCGGGCTCCTTCGTGTTTGAAGCTACTGAGGCTAAGCGGCAGGCTGTCCCGAGAGCTCACTGTGAGGCCGCACCCTGGGCAAAGGGGCCACAGCACAGCCCTGACCACCAGCGGGGCTCCTCCCGGTCTCCACTCAGCGTCTGTGCTCTCCGCAGTCTTCTCGCAGGCTCCCTGGCCTCCGTGGTGCTGCTTTCACGGCTGGGTTTGGCCCCACACACGTGCCAGGCCCAGAGCAGTTCTAGGAAGGGTGCCAACCCGCTGGCCTGACGCAGACGCTCTCTAATGCGAAAGCGTCACCCAGTAATCCCCCTGGGACCAGGCTCCTGCACCTTCTAGTCGGCACCTGCCCCAGCCCTGCTGGCAATTCCATCTCATGGATTATAGAGTGCCAGCTCCGAGCGACTGTCATTTCTACCCCCAAATTATAGCGTGGGTTCACACACAAACCATTTTCAATAGGTAGGCGCAGGCAGCCCGGGAGGGAACATCGTTACATCAGAGGGAGTGGGGACAGCAGCCGGGGGTTCAGTGACCGCATCCTCCACAAGCACGTCTCTTCTCGCCCTCGCCACTCACGCCAGCACTCCCTGCCCATGACAGGGCAGGACGGGAGCGCCACCATGGCACAGAGTGGTCAAACCACCCTGGATTCTGGAGACTCTACAGCTCGGATTACTCGGCTTCCAGCACCAGGGTTCTTCCGCTTGTCCTCCACTTCTGGAAACTTCCTAGGCTTCATAGGCTCACATCCCTTTCTCAGGCATGCCGAGGTTTTCAGCTGGGCGGGGAAGTCCTCCACAGCCAAGCACCACCCTTGCCGGCCTTGTCTCCCAGTCCCCGAACAGTCCCTGCACCCACACCACCTACCACGCATGTCTGTACCACACACCCCACCCCCTCTCATCTCAGGCAGCCGCAGACACTGACTCCCATCGCCCTCCCTTCTGCAGCTCCCCAACGCCTGGCTGGAGGATACGCTGCTCACACCTATCACCCTCCCTGCTCCTGCGCTGCCGGGCCTGCGCTGAGGTCTGCACGTCCTGACCGCCGGCCAGGGGAGGACAAGCAGGGCACAGCCAACCTACTCCCCACGGTTTTGAAGTCTCCCCCTGGGAGAAGCAGCATCTCTCGGGGTTGGCATCACATACAGAAGTGAACTTTCACAGCCAAAGAAGCTTCTGGTGCTGAAGAGTGTCTTGGGCAAAGCCCACAAAAACTGACCCCCACCACTCCAGAAACCTAGAACATTCCAGGGAAATCTACACTGCTGACACAGTCCATCCCCTCCCCTGGGGACCCGAGTAGACCTGAAAGTCACAAGCTGGGCAAGGGAAGCCAAGACCTCAAGATCCGCTGGCTGGTCTGCCATGGGGGTAGGGACGGCAGGCCAGGACCCCCGCCCCGCCCCTCCCCTTACATGTACTGCTTCTGTTCCTCATGGTACTGCTCCTTGTTCTCCAGGTTCTGCTCTAGGAGCATTTGGTTCTGTTGGTTCAGCAGCTGGATCTGGCTCAGGAGGTGATGATTCTCCTCCTCCAAGTTCCCCTTGAGGCGGGAGAGCAGCTGAAACACAGACCAACAGCAGCTCAGGCACCACGTGACTCCATAATCCCACCTAGCTTGCCTAAGAAGGAAAAGGTCAAGGGTGCGCAGCTGGTCATCTCAGTATCATCTGCACTCGGGACACTCGGAAAGCTTCAAAGAGCCATAACCTGCCCAACACGGAGGCCGCCGAGCACTGACAGTGCAGCGGCTCCAAGCTGACGCACACTCCTCTTGAGACATGCGGCAGAGGCTGAAGGCTCAACACAGGAAAGACAGAACAGGAAACCTCACCCAGGAGGGGTGGCGTGTGCCTGTACATGCAAGGAGCTATGTGGGAGGCTAAGGCAGGACATCACGGCCAGCCTGGGCAATGTGGCAAGACCCCCAGTTCATAAAAAATTTTCATTTCATTTTGTAAAGATTTTTTAAACATGGCTATAAGAAAATGTAAAACTGCATATGCAGCATGCATTCTGTTCCTCCTGGATGGCTTTGCTTTAAGAGAGGTGGCGCACTTTTTCTGTCCAGAGGCCAAAAGTGACAATTCTAGGCTTTTCAAGCCGCCCAGTGTCTGTCACAGCTTGCTACTCAGCTCTGCCCTGGTAGCAGAGAGGCAGCTACTGGCAACATGAGACTGCAGAAGACTTGCTTTAATTCAACAAAACTTTACTTATAGATGCTGACGTTTAAGTTTCACATAACTTTTGCTCAACCAGAAAATATCATTCAATTTTTCTCCCCATTAAAAAATGTTAAGAACCATCTCAGTGTGTGGCCTGTATCAAAATAGGTGTCCAGCAGGATCTGGCTTGTGGGCTCGTTTACCAACCTACATTCTAGAATATTCCCTAGAATATTCTTCTAGAATATTCTGTTCTAGAATAGGAAAGTCACAGGCTTTGGATGTAGAGACTGGGTCCAGTTCACTACTCCACAGGACAGGATGGAGACCCCAGCTCCCAAGGTCACTGTGAGGACTAAGTGAGAAGACACAGACAAGCACAGAGCAAAAGGCCCAGTGCCCCCCAGGTGGAGAGCACATGCTGCTCCAGCCTCTTCACCCCGTGGCCATTACAACTCTGCTTTACCATGAACAGAGAAGCCAAGGTTCCACCTGCCTGGCGTATGACTACGGCTTACATAGGTATACACGATGAACAGAGGCGGCAGGGACAAGGAGGGCAGACTGTGACTGATTACTGCCTCACTGAAAACACTTCCGGGTCATCACTGAAAACACTTCCGGGTCATCGCTACAAGGACGTCTGGGCAGTTGCAGACACCACCCTTCTCTGAGATTCTGGATCTGCCTGGAAGACCTGGCCGGGCTGCAGTCCTGGGGACCTGGTGCCACTGGGCCCTTGCGAAGGGTGAGTTCCGATCCTGGGGCAGGCAGGGCCATCCCAGTGACAACACGATAGCTGCCTGTCCACCTCATTAGGCCCTGGCAACAAACCAACTTGACTTAGGACACCGGGGTGACTCAGGAGGGGCGAGGGGAACGCCTGCCCTGCCCTGCCCTGCCCTGCCCTGCCCTCTCGACATTCGCTCTGTGAAAGCCAAAGCCGCGTCCCCCAATCACACACGGAAGCCCCGGGCCCCAGTCACTCAGAGCGTGACCGTATTTGGAGGTGGAACCTCTAAAGGAGGAGGTTACAATGAGGCTGGCCGCGAAGGCAAGGATGGACAATCTGTCAGGCAGGTGTCTCTCCGGACCCACAGAGACAGACCACGGATTACACGCAGAGGAAATACCACAGGGGTGAGGACACACGGAAAGTGGCCACCTGCCAGCCAGAGCGAGAGCCTGGGGGACTCCCAACCCCGAAACGGGGAGAAATCAATCCTGTTTTCTAAGCTGTCTGAGCCTGCGGCATCTGTCATGATGGCCCAAGCAGACAAAGGCAGCTCCCACCTGCAGCCTGTTGGGAGCAGGCCATGCCAGACCCGGCGTTTCGCTGACCTCCTCCCTACCATCTGCCGTCCCCGCTCCGGCCCCCTCCTGACCCGCGCTGTCACTGACCAAATCACACGTGTGCCCCACAGCCCCACCCCCAGCTTGCAAACCAGCCTTTCTCAAGAAATACTCCCCATACCCACACCTTGCCCATTCTTTTACTTTGGCACAAACGCAACCTTTTCTATGCAGCTTCCCATGCAGCCTGACACAGTCTCCTCAAATACACTGTATACCCACGTGTGTAACAGCACAATTCTTAACAGCAGCCTGTATGTCTATCAGCAGATAAATGGATAAAGAAAATGTGGTTGTATACACCATGGAGTACTACTCTGCCATAAAGAAGGATACGCTTTTAGTCATCTGTGGGAAGATGACCCCATCTTCAGACCAAGCTGAAGTAAATCAGACACCAGCCTAAATATTGCAGTTTCTCTTACACGAGAAACCCAGTATATAAATAAAGTGTAAAATAAAAAATAGACAATAGGAAAAAAGTTATTATAATCCAGCCTGAACAATGACTTAAGTGTACCTTGACTTAGTGTAATTGTTTTATGTGCTTTATACTTTTTTGGCCTGTTAGTCGGGCTGTTAGTCTGTATTTGTAAGTAACTTAATGAGGACTGCTGGAAAAAAAATTTTTTTTTCCTTAAAAAAGGAATAGAAAGGAAGGAGGAACAAAAGAACGGAGACGTGTTATGTCCAAGTACCAGTTCCCCACAATGAGTGTAATCATTGTGTAAAACTTCAAAGTTAAAAAATAGAATCTTAACGTCCTGCCAGGTGACAGCACAGTCCTGGGCTTTGGTTTCTTTCCTTGTGATGTCCCCCAGCACTAGCACAGGGTCAAAGGACAGGGCTTCTGAGCAGACTCAGTCCTGAGATCACATGCTGTCGCCAGGGCCGTCCTGGGATGGTGTGGAGACCTCCATCCTCCCAGCCCGTCTCTTTGTATCTCGGTCCAGCCAGGATCCCTTTGACAGAGTGGGTTCCACTGCCTACAACGGCCACTTCCAACCTAGTACCTCAGGAAGGGCAACTCCGAAGCCAGTGACCTGAATGAGTTCCGTCCTCACTGCCCCAGGATCCCAAGCCCGTCAGCCAAAACCCAAGACGGGGCAAATTCAGGTCATTTCTTTTTTTCTTTCTTTTTTTTTGGTACTGGGAATCAAACTCACAACACCTCATACTTGCCAGGCAGGCGCTGTGCCGCTGAGCTCTATCCCCAGCCCAGGCCATTTCTCTAGAACGGTGAGGCCACTGAAATGAAGGGATCTGGAAACACAGCAGGGACACAGGCAGAGGAAAGACAGAAACACTGTCTCCGCCGGGACGCCTGACACATTCTTCCCAAGGCGGCATCTGTCTCTGTGTCCAAGGGCCACCCACACATCCTCCCGGAGCTAAATTCCGGCGGGGCCCCACTGTCACCTCCTGAGCTCCTGAGGGCCCCCAGACCCACCCGGCCAGGGCCTCACCTCGCAGTGGTTGTCCAGCTTGGTCAGCGAGATGTCCATGGTCTGGTGCTGCTCCTTCAGCTCGTCAAAGCGCGCCTGCCAGCGGTTCAGCTCCAGCTGCGAGGTGTTCAGCGAGGTTTTCAGCTCCTTGGTGTGGGCGTGCAGCTCTTCACACTCCCCCTTCAGCTGCTGGTGCAGGAAATTGACCCTACGGCATGAACAGCCACGTGGTAAAGGGGCTGAAGCACGTTCCAAAGAGGGACTGCTCCGTCCCAGCTCTCACAGAACCAGCATGTGCAGCCTCAGATAAAGCCACAATTTCTCGGGGCCTCAGGTTTCTTTATACGTAAAATCAGAGGATTAAACAAAATTGCTGGTTCTCAAACTGTGTTCTTTGGGGTTCGATTAGGGTACCCTTTGTTGCTACCACACCGGGCCTGGAGGGAAACTGACCAGGCAGGCTCCAGCTTCAGCCATGCATTTTTGGTATCTTATCCCGTCTACATTACGACTTTAGCATCTCAGCACACACGGGAATAAGGATTCTGCTGTCAAAAAGCAACACACACACACACACACACACCCGCACTGAGCCAGAACAAATTTGTCTATGCCTAGCACTCTTCCCAGGTCCACACACCTAACTTCAACTCCTAACATAAACAGGACAAGATGGCAGCATATTCTGTAAATCCACTAAAATAACTATCATCATAATTACTAGCCAAGGGGGCTCAGGTGTCAACCAGAAAGCCCAAATTACTAGGGGCTCATACATTCAGTTTGGACATGTGTGTCTTGTCTGGTGTACTCAATTTTATTTTCTAAAAAATTAGCTGCCAACATTTAAAAATTTGGACAGTTCACATCAACACCCAGACATCCAGCTTCTCTGAGAACATGAACCAGAGGAATGACTGGACGCCCCAGGCCCCACTGCCGTGGATTCGCAGTCACCCTTCTCATGGTGTGGACTCTCCAGCCGTGGTCTGTGCTCTGCTGCTGGTGCTATTTCACACTTGTGCTTTCCCTGCCGGGTCATGGCAGGTGCCCGAGTGTGTAACTCCAATATGTTAACCCAAGGACGCAGTGGAAGCAGAACTTCATATAGTCTTCGGGACTCTGGAAGGAGCTAAGACCTGGATTCAACCCTAACTCTGCCATTAACTAGAGGCGTTAACCTGAACACGTTACTTGCTCTCAAGTGTTTCCTTGTTGTTAAAAAAGGGGGGATAGCAGTACAGTCTACTCTCAGTATTTACATTAGTTCTGTTCTATAAACCTGGAAAACAGTGAATTAGTGAATACTGTACCACTTCTCCAAGGGAAAACGCAGGATTAGGCTCCCAAGGGCCTCTGGTTACAGCATTTTGGTTTTATGTGGGTTTCTGTTAAAAGGCACTTTATGTACGGTACACGTAGCCAACGGCACTCTAGCTCCCGCCTGGCGAAGCGCAGGTACCACACCCACTTTCTCCAGGGGACATCACAGCCTTTCATGCTCAGCAACACGGGACAACACCTCAGCACTATGCCTGGGGCCATTTTAAACAGGGCGATCTGGCCCAAAGCACAAAACACAAAAAACACCGCACTAATCAAGTTTTGAAAAGGACTTTTGTCTGCAGTAGGAGTGTTGAAACAAGAAGTCCCTCCGCTGGGAACAGGGACGTCTGGTGACTCATTGTGTGGACTCTGCACGTCCAGAAAAGCCCTGCAGGTATGCATTTCAGCGCTACAAATAAATGCCAGCAAGCAGGAAAATCCACAAGTATGCAATCCGTGAATAAGGGTCAGTGGCTGCTCTGTGGCAGCGTTGTAGGCTTAAGGTCAAGGATGGAGACATCTGTGCTGGACACAGCTGTCATCACACAGAAGAGCTGTGAACCACCAAACTTAGACACCAGATATTCCCACAGCCACCCAAGTCCTTCCACTGAGCAGTCAGACGGAGCTCCCCCCAGCCCCGCCCCCAGCCAGTGTTAACAAGACAGGCTTTGTAAAGACATACGGTGACCAGGGAATTCATAAGGCTTTGCCCTGGTGGACAGAACGCTGGGGCTACTGCCTGGCAGCGCTAGCACTCACCTGTCCAGCTCCGCCCGCAGCCTCTGGTTCTCGCCCATGGTGACAGCGTTCGTCCTCTGCTCCTGCTGCAGCGCCTCACGCTCGGCAGTCAGGACCTTCTCCAGCTCGTCCAGCTCCGCCCTGTGTTTCAGCATGTCGCCGTGCCTGTTGGAGGCAGACTCTGCTGGGTGTTTGGCATGGGCCCCTGTGCAGGTAACTCAGAGCTGAAAGACTCTGATGAAGCTCTGCGATCAAGGGATTTCTCTACAGGAGGAAAAGATGGGGCAGCGTGCAGAGAGCGGGCAGGACAGCAGAAGGTGGACAAGGACTGCAGGAGTGGTTGGACCAGCACCCGGCCCCGGGCCCAGAATCATCCTCATCCCACCTGATACGTCCTTGTGGTCCCTCCCCTGTCAAGGCCACTCCTCACCCGAGAGCAGGGCTACACTGAACTCCGTGTCTTCTCTGGGGAATTACAAACAGGTTACTGGTGGTTCACTAAGCACAAACAGATCTAAAGGAAACCACAGAATAGCCAAATTCCACTGCGGGTAACAGCTACTTCCTCCTCCTCACCCGCCCCACTCCCTTGGGAGCCTTACTCTGCTTGTTCCTAGCCTGGTCCTCCCACGGTCTGTAGCCTGCTGAGGGCTACAGCGGCCACCTAACCTTAGCTGCCCCTGCCCGCAGTCCTGACCCTTTCTCTCCCCTCCCATCCTGTCTCAATTCTCTGCGCACTCAGTCCTTGCAGGTGGCACAGCAGCCGGCGGGGGGCAGCAGAGCACAAGGCTGGAGTCCCTGAGACACCAGGGCCCTTCCTCCCTCTTGCCGGGAAGCGTCTGTGCTCCGGGTAGACCCCAGTCTCCTCCAAGCCCAGGGGCACACAGCAGTGTGAAAGCTGATCAGCGGCGCCTGCAGAGGCAAACTCCTGAGCGGCCCCCACAGCTCACCCTACCCCAGCAGGGCCTGTGCCGTCTCCCAAGGGCCCAGATGTGGGAACCCAACAAGGAGACCTGCTCACAGACAAGTATCTGTGAGGCCTTTAGCCCTGAGACAGAGGACGCCCCGAGCACGGAGCTGGGAGCTGAGGCCCTGCCTGGCTTTCTGAGTAGGACTTTTCTCATCCAAACTAACGATTCTAGAAGAATTATCCAAGTGTGACAAGGACGGACCCTGGACTGACCACTGAGGTTCCCCACCTCCTGCTCCTTTCTTGTGGTATCTCAGAAAAGCGTGACTTAAACCATTAGTGACTAACTACCCAACTGCACCGCAGACTTTCGGGGTCTTGCTCACCCTAACCCCTGGCGCAGCGTACAGTAAATGTCTAGAAGAAGAAGGGAATACTGGAGGGAAAAGCGCACGGCCTGCATCCCTGTGTGGCACGTCCCTGCACCCCAGGACCCGCAACCATCTGTGCAACCGGCAAAGCATATGAAGCAACCAGGGGATGCTGCCCCAAGCAAGCAACCATAGGGAAATGACGCGAACTCCACCTCCAGAGCCAGTCCCAGCGCTACCTGCAAAAGCCTTCCCCCGACATCACTGAGAACACAGGAGATGCTGTTATAATGTACTCTCATGGGACACCAAGATAACATAGGTGCCTAAGCGTCTCATGCTTGACTCAAATGCTGTGTGAACACTGCCTGTCCCACTTTATGAGCCAGCACACAGCAGACGTTCAATAAATGTCACCTAAGTACAGGAGGGGGAAGAAGACGCACCTTGTGTGGAGAGGAACAGAATCTCACAGGGGCTGAGGCCTCTGGAGCCCTGAAGGGAGATGAGGTGGATAAAGAGAGGAGAGCTCCACAAGGAGGCAAACAGGACACATTTGGTGAGAAAGCCAACCAGTGTCATCACCACAGGCACCACCAATGCCCACACAGGCTTTTCTGGCTCAAAGACATTCATGGGTCTCTACAACTGAAGCTCCTTACATGTCAGCTGCTGCTACCTGAAAGGACCAACATGTACGTAGATGACTTGTTGAAGGGATTCAAGAGGACAGCTGCCCATGAATGGGCCTGCTGCAAGCAGGTGAAGTGGGTAACCTGGGCTCTCTTCAACGGAACCTGCGCCTCTTATACACCTGACTCTACACATGGCATCTCCAGAAGCCTCCGGGGAAGGCATTTTGTCCTACCCATTCTGCATCTTGACGTACCTGCCCAGTGGCCCGGCACCACTGGAAACACGCTCAAACCAGGAGTTCAGCGGGTGGTAGCTGACTTGGCAACACAAAACTCAGGGCTCAGGAAGGTCAAGAGCGCCAAGTTAAAGCCTACGTATTTCACTGTATGCAAATTTTACCTATCCCCCACCCCAAACACTCAGGATGGAGAGCAGGAGGTAGAGACGAAGGGAGAACTGGCATCACGTGGCTAAATGAGGCAGATGGGTAACTGTGGACTTATGATACAACTCTACCTACTTTCTATGCATTCTCAAGTTTTCCCTAATTAAAGGGTTTTTGGGTTTTTTTTGGTACCAGGAATCGAACTCATGACCTTAGGCTTGCTAGGCAAGCACTTAAGCTGGCTGAGCTATACCCCTTGCCAAGGGTTTTTGTTTTTTAAGGCAAACCACCCAGCCGGATGCTGCTATGGCAGAGAGGGCCCGCGGAGTCAGGCCAGGCCATCCCTGCACACTGGCAGCTGTGGGAGACTCCCTTGGGGTCATGGGTTGGGACAGGAAAGGGCAGGAGGGAGAGAATCCTCGGCGGAACAGGTTTCCAGGGCTCTGCAGGCTGCCCGGAGCTGAAAGCAGCTGCGGCACCTTTTCTTTCCTTGGGCAGCCCCCACCCTGGCATTCAGTACCCAGACCCAGCTGCACAAACTTAAAACTGCCCAAGGTGACCTTTTATTTCCTTCCCATTGCTCTGACAATGGGAAGCAGACAGCCAAGAGGAAACACGGAGAGGAATAGAAGTCGAATATGGGCCAGGAGAAAGCTTGGTCCTAGGGGAGCCCTAAGACTCCCTACACTGCACCGGCGTGTGCTGGGGACCACCTAGGTGACTCTCCTTGAAAGAGGAGCAATTGCCTCCATTTTGGTTGAGCCTGACCCTGTTTCCATGTATCAATCTATGCAGAGCTGGCTAGGACCCTTTCTTTATCCCTTCAGTTGGCTTTAAGCAATGCATATGGGTCTAGTCAAGGTGCTGATGGTAGTCTTTGAAGATGACAGGTGACAGGCATGTTTCCCCAAACCGCGCCCCCCACACACACACACAAGTGAGCTGGGATGGAGCCTTGGGATAGAGGCTATGACTTCCTGGGGCTTGAAAGACTGCACATCAGAGCTAAAGCACTGACCCCAAAACGTTAGATACTATCTCAATTGTGTCATGCAGACTACTCTTTCTGCATATCCTCCTCTCTCCACTGGCAGAGGTGATTTCTGGTCTCCTACCTAGCCCAGCTCATGGCACTCACCTACTTCCCACAGTTCTCACAGTCACTCATCCTCAAGCCTCTCCCTTCTTCATGAATGAATAAAACCCAGGTTCAGCCTTGGGTTGAGGCCTTTGCTACAGATAGCTGTCATCGTGGCTGGACTTAGGACCCCTTGGCTCCCCATAATTACAAATATGCCTTAGTGTCTTTATTCTTACCATGGGTTGCACTGGAAGTGGTAGATCAGAATTAATTTGCTACAATTCCAGTAACTTTTCATGCGATGACAAATACAGACTTCCTGAGCCGCGGCAAGGACCAGAAAGGGCTCTCCGTAGCCTGTACCCCCGCCAGACCTCACCCCTCTTCCCAGGATCCCCAGTCCCCAGCCCCGCACACAAGGCCGCACCTCTCCCTGAGCTCCTTGTGCTCCAGCTCCAGGTTCCGGTGCAGTGTCTTCAGGCAGCTGTGCTGGCGGATGAGGGCCTCGTACTCCGAGGACTGGCGCTCGTGCAGCGTGCTCAGGTGCTCGTGGTCCTGGAGCAGGGCCTCGTAGGCGGCCGCCAGCTGCTCCTGCTGCCTCTGCAGGCCTTCGTGCTCCGTCTCCTTGGCCGTGTGCTGGCTCTGGAGCAGTGTGTACTGCGCAGCCAGCGCGGCGCTCTGGGAGCTCAGCGTGGAGTTCTCCACCTGCGTGAGAACAGAGCCGCAGACTGTGGGTCAGACGCCGATGATCAGGGACCACAGCAGCGCAGGCCAGGCCTGGAAGGGTGGTTCCACTGAACTTAAGGACCTGCTTTGGGAAGGGGACGGCACCACGAAGCACAAATGGACTACAGCTGAGCCCTCTCCGAAAGTGAAGCCTCCCCATGGATAACTTCTGGCTATTTTTAAAAACCCATTTTGTAGAAGAAGCAGACAGAAAATCTGTAAGGATACAGAATACTTCAACAACACTATCAACCAACCCTACGTGACCTTTACAGAATACTGCAGCCCACATGATTCATAATCATTAGAGAACTAAACAAGGGCCAGAACTACACTGACATTAAAACCGGACAAAGACTTTTTCAAGACAAAAAAGCAAAACAAACCCATATCCTATTTTCTTATTTTCACAGAACAAATCCCAACCTCTTCGCCAAACAGTTTCCTGTTTATTGTCCCTGCTCCGTAGGTAACCTATTTTCAGTTTCCTCAGAAAGTGCATGAATGCATGATTAATTTTCCCACCACCTTTACCATAAATAAAACCAGCACCCTCAGCAGCCCAGAGCACTGGTTCTGGGGGCTTCTCCCAACAGCTGGAGGCAGCTTTACGGCCTACTTCCCTCTTGGAGTTGAAAATACACATTGGCTTAACCAAGGTTCTGCCAGGTTTTGCAGTAGAGAAAACTGGTCAGTTGTTTAACCAAACCTATTTGACCTCCAGGCCTCATTCCTAATGGCCTCTCAAGGAACAGACTTTGGGGAACATGGGCAGGAATGTAAGAGCAGACAGATGAAGACCTGAGCCCATGCAGCCACAGCTCAATCACTGAAACTGGCTTACAAGGACCATCACCTTTGAAGTCCTTGTCTACAGTGAGCTTACTAACAAAGCCGCGCACTTCCCTCCCTTGCGTTTTGTCCGGCTCTCGCTCCTCTGCGAGCCCGACACCAGCTGTCTGGTACCTGCAGCTTGGCGGTCTGGGTCTGCAGCGTGGTGGTATGCTCCTGCAGGAAGGCGCTCTGCTTCTGCAGTGTCAGGATCTGACTGCTGAAGGCCACATTCTGTGTCTCCAGGTGCTGCAGCTGCTCCTTCAGCAGCTGCTTCTCAGCCTGCAGAGCTGCGTTCTAGGGGATGGGGAAGCAAGTGTCAGTCAAGCAAGGCAGGGCTAGCACCAAGTGGCCACAGGTACCTGGGTTGCAACAAACCCTCAAGCATGGAAGGAGGCCGAAGCCAGTGTCCACTAGGTATAGAAAGTAACACCTACCCTCTTTGTAAAGGACAATCAACAGAATTTCTGAGAAACAGACCACACACCCCGGGAGATACATACTGCAGGGGTATGTATCTCCCCAAAGTGACGGGGAGGCTCAGGCACTGGAGGCAGAGCCGCTCTGCCTTGTTCTCTTCTGTGCTTGCTTCTGCTCTCTGTGGAGCACCTAAGAATGCTGTTCTGAGAGTGGGACCCACCTCCTGCTGACCTCGGCTGCAGCTCACCCCACTCTGGGGAGACAGCAGGTGGAAGAGGGTGATGTACATTATGTGGGACTGAAAAAGAACACGTGATTCGTGCTATCAACTGGGTTAGGGACCAGGACATGGGACAGGGGCTGCATTCTTGTGCTATCCCTCATTAGCACAGGACTCTGGGAGAGTCATACCTTTCTGCCTCGGTTTTCTCATCTGTCAAATAATGAAAATCATCACTACAGACTATATAAAGTCACTGACAATCAAAACCAAAGGAACTGAGAGGAACTAGATAATCTTTTCTATAAAGGTCCGGATGATAAATACTCCCAGGTTTGCCAGCCACATCCTCTCTCTCTCCACCACCGAATGCTACCATTGCCATGGGAAAGCTGCCCAGACAATGCATAAACTAAGGGCATGGCTGTTTTCCCATAGAGCTGTATTTACAGACACAGCAGAGGGCTGTGAAATGCAGTTCTGAGACACAGCCCTGAAAAACGTAACGCTACAGGAATAGCAGCTGGCAATCTTGACTCCTGTCAACGCAATCGGGTGATTCACCATGGCAAAAGCTGAATGCACCTCTCAGGCTACAACTGTGAAGGGACAGCAAATGAAAGGTGCCCATGGGACCTGCCAGGTCAACTCAAGAAGTGTCCGGCTAGATCCAAGAAGCTTCCATGGACTCTGGGATCCCGTGTTCTCTACCGTAATTATACCTGATCAGTGGGACCATGAACAGGACGCTCCCTCTCTGTGGGACGAGGGCCAGGGCACTCACATTTCGCTCCAGCTCAATGGCCCGGTCCTTCACTCGGAGCAGCTCCATGGTGGCCTCCTTGTGGCCCGGTCCCCAGGCCTCCTTCTCCTGGGGACTGGTGACTGAAGTCCCCAGAGGGCGCTTGAGCGAGTTCTGCACATGTGTTGCCTCTTCCTGGATCTGCCTGAGCCGGTCCCGCTCTTCCTTCACCTGCAGGTGTGGGCAAGGGAGCCAGCTTAGGCGGGACAGAGCATCACTCAGAGCCCTGCTTGAGGACAGATGGCAGCTGTGCACCAGTGCCATGCGTGACCGTGCAGATGCGCGTACACACACACACACACACACACACACACACACGACACAAAACAGGCCAGATACCATTCTTTGCTCTGGTGGGGAAGAGGGCACCCAATCCCAGTCTCCCATGTCTCCCCGTTCTGTCCAGAGACAATGGGAAGGGCAGAAGCCCAGGGGCCATATCTGCCTCAGTCCCTGCCTCAGTCCCCACCCTCAGCCCCACGACTACAGCAGGGCTTTCACTCTCCGAGCCTCCACTGCCCGTGAAAAGGAGGAAGGCTGGGGAATGGGTACCAGGGTATCTTAACCCTCATGGAGCCTTGGTAGTGCTGGGATTGCTTTGTTCCACATTCCAGTTCAACCCCGCTGCTGAGAAACATGCCCCATGTTCACACCACAGGGCTGGAAGAGCACAGTGTGTGTGTGTGTGTACTGTGTGTATGTGTGTGTGCATGCACGTAATGAGTCCTTACACATGTGGAGACTGCACAGACAGCACATGTGGATGGGTGGAGCATTCCCACATACATGTGGAGCGCATGTCTATACGTGTGTAGAACGTGTGCCTGGGAATAGGCATGTGCAAGTCCTCGTGAGCCCCTGCCCCATCTGAGCGTGCCAGGAGCTTGCAGGGCTCTGCTGGGTGTGCACTTTCCCACGGAGCTCTCACGGTGGATCCCCACTTCCTGCCAGGCCCCTGGCCCTGCCCTGTCAGCGCGTGTGATTCAGATGGAGCGTGCTCTAATCCCGTGTGGTTCACCCCACCTGCCCCAGTGCAAAGGTGTCAGGCCGCCCTTGGCCACCCAGGCAAGGGGCAGGAAGGGGAGGCACAGCCCGGCTGGCAGGGCAGGCTGGGCTCTCACACACCGCCCTCACCATCTGGAGCTCGCTCTGTAACTGCTGGTTCAGGCCCACTTTCTCTTCCACCTGGGCTTCCAAGAACACAATCTTTTCTTCTTTCATGGCCAGTGCCGTTTTTAATTTTGACTCATTTCTGCCCTCCAAAATCTTGTACTTTCTGAAAAATACAAAGGTACAGTAGTATCATTTACCTGCCTCTTCAGCCCCACACCCATCTCCTCCCGGGAGCCTGCCTGCCTGCGCCACCCAGGAGTCGGACCCACTCCAGAGCCCTTCCCGGGACCCCTGAGCAGACACCTGTGACCCCACCCTGGAGACATGTTGACACCTTTTAGGGTCACTGTTTTAGGGAAGTGTTATCACCGTTATTTTACAGATGGGGAAACTGAGTCTTAGAAAGCTTAAGTGATTTGTCCAAGGTTGCAGTGCAAGGTACATGGCAAGTCCACAGCCTTTCCACTCCAAACAGGTGTCCTGTTAGCAGGCCTGTGAGTCTCACTTACAAATCTACAAGTCCAGGATACTGGATTTCTTTATACAACATGATCATTTTTAAGAAAGCATGCCTGCAACGGTCAAAGTAAGAAAGTCTCAGGCTGAGGATGTGGCTCAGTGATAGAGCACCTTCAGGTAGGAGGCCCAAGCTCCAGTCCCCAGCACCACCAAATAAACAGTAAAAAATCACCTTTCTTATTAGACAAAAGAGTCTCCCTCCATGCTCCCTGACAGCTCCCGGGATAAGATCTGGTCTTTAAAGGACAGTGGAGCTACAGTGTGGTGACTTCAGTGAACACAGGCCTCAGGCTGAGAGCAGAGGCTCGGGCCCAGCAGCAGAGGGGCGTGCTACCCTACAGGGGACCATCCTCACGTGTCGCCGTGGCTGTTCTCGTCCTGCAGCAGCAGCTCCTTGCTGAGCCCAACCTTCTCCAGCTCCTGGCCGAGTTTGTCCAGCTCACTGGTCAGCTGCTGGCTCTTCAGCTTCTCCAGCACCAGATCCTGCAACACAGGAGACGGAAGCATGGGGTAGGAGCCTAGCGGAGTCACAGCAGAGAGGCCAGGCCAAGGCCTCTTCACGAGGTCATCTCTGAGACACTTCTGCCCCAGTCCTGGCCGCCTAGCCGGGTGACAGGTCACCAACCCCAGAGGAGATGTGCTGCCAGAAGAGAGGAAATGGCACCGATTTCCAGACCTAAGCAAACCACGCAGCAACGTGCTGAGGATGGATCTAACACACTCCTTCTGCAAGACGCGTTAGAAATGCCACTTATGGTACCTCGAGTACCAGGTTTGATTTCTGATGACAGGGCTGCCTTTTTACAGAGTAACAAGCAATTAAATGCTCACTGCAGACAATGTGAAACAGGAAAAAGCAGAGAGAAAGATCGTAAGCCCTGGTTCTGATTTATTTTTCAGAACACAGATGGGGGATTCACTCAGGTGATGCACATCCTGGGACCCCCTTCGCTCCCATCCATCTCTGCTATTCTCTGAAGGAAACCACCATTCCTGCCCGGGGCCAGTCACTTGCATGCTATTTATCCCTCCTACTGAATCAGGCAGGGTGGCAGCAGTAACAATGCTCACCATCTGCTCCCCCAAATATCCCCTCAGCCCTGTGTTAGCTGAAGCCAGGTGACTCGTGCTGGCCTGAGGGTGTGGGTGGGAGTGTGAGTCACTTTCTGGCTGATGCACAGAAAAGCTGGTGTGTGACCTGCCAGCTGCCTTTTCGCCAGGCACGACGGTCACTGTCCAAGCCTGGGCCCATTAAGAACAAAGTGTGCTGGACGGCTGAGTCCCGGCTCAGGGGACAGACTCCCGGGGAGTCACTTGGGCTCTGCTGAGGGGGAAGTACACCTCTGCTGTGTTAAGCTGAGGAGATCTGGGGGTGTCTGGTGACTGTGGCACAAAGCTGCACCAGGGGGAACTGTGGACGGAGTGCAACATCTGGTGTGCAGCTCTCCCCGCAGCACACTGACCTGCCTGTACAAGTCATCAGCCATCGTTTCTAAATGTGGAGATCCCTGTGTTCACCGGAATCAATTTTCTTCCCCTCCTAGGAAAAGGGGAGCTACACAGCACCCTGCAGCTGCCTGGAGCAGTGCTGAATATAATCTTTCTGTCTTTCTTGGCTACCTGGCACCTGCAGAGGAGCCAGAAGAAGGCTCCACAAGTGAGTGGCTGGGCTATACCAGAAGGCAGAAGCCCGCACTGGAACCACTGAGCTCCAGACCACTTGGGAATGTGCATACTGAACTCCTAGGTGAGTGAGACAAAACCTGGGCGTCAGGCCACTGAGGAGCCACCGATGTCCGCTCTAGACCAGCTCTTTTCCATAACATCATGCTAAATGCACAAATGCTCGGGTGGCCCATGCAAACAACACTGGGAAGCTGGGACAGGTATTTCTGGAGAAGTTTATATATACACTAAGAGACTAAACACAATGTTTACATCCTTTGTCTCTGCAATTCTATTTCCAGGATTATATCCTAAGAAAAGTTTGGTGAGAATTTGTGAAGGCACGTGTCAACAGGGTACCAGTGGTATTTAAAACAGGGGGGGGGGG